ATACTTCCATGGATCTCAGTAAAAGCAGCATACGTTTCCCCAAGACTCTGCAATACCTTTGTGTTTTGTATTAGCTTCAGCTCATAGTCAGAAAGTTCTTGCTGGTTAGTATTGCCATTAAACTCCTCCTTCTACTGTGTTTTGGTGTGAATGGCATGGATGAGCTACATAGATACATAGATATTCAAAGAAAACATGTGAATTCCTGGTGAGACAGAGGTCAAGATGAACAAAGTTGTTTTTCACCTATTCCTTTTTTTTTTTTCCCCCCCTCCTGCTGTTAATCACCATTCTTCAGTGGCACTGAAGAATAATCTTTCCAGTATCTCTCAATTGCTGAAAATGGCTGCTGTGAACTCTCTAAGAAGTCTTACTAAGTATTTCATAGTGCGTTTGTTGCTTTTCCCACAACTCTTAGCTTTAATGCCTTATAACTAAATAATGTCATCAGGTATATGGACATAGCTCCCACTGGCTTCAAAAGCAAATAAAGAAGGAAAATTTATTTCATCTACGTAAATGAATAGTTATCATGCTATGCAGTACTGCAGATACCAAGGAAGTTATGCTAGCAAAGCTCTTTATAGAAGGCAATTCTGCTTAATGCAAAAAAGAAAAATGACAGAAATTGTGAGGAAGGGAATAGGAGTGCACATTTACTCCTTTAAAAGGTTGCAGCCATAAAACCAACACTTAATTCAAGAAGCTAGATACTAAGTGCAATAAGCTGAATATTAAAATAAAGTTTATTTGGTAGTAAAATGATGAACTTTAAGAGTGCAGTGAACCGTGTGCCTTGTATACACACATTAAACCAAACACCTTTCAGTTAAACTAATGCTGGAGGTATGATTCACAGACAGAAAAGCAAGAAAATGCCCAAGATAGACTAGAATTAATGATCCGGGGATACTAAAACCCAGGTTTTATGACACAGCCTATTGTTTCTAGACCAATTCTGTATCAAGATTGTCAGCTAAGGATTCTCTGAGGAAAATAGCATGACTGGGGAAAGAGACTTTCTATTAAAGACATTATATTATAGAAGACACTTTCTATAAAATTTGTATTTTGAATTGTTCCAGCTTTTCTAATCTTCAAAATGCATGCTTATGTGAAGATCCTAATTTCAGATCATCATCTGTCTGAGCAGTTTGAAAATAGGATGTTTGTTGCAATCATCATGTTTACTTCTTTTTAGTTAATCAAAAACCGAGAGATTACAATTATTGCACATTAACTTTCTTTTCTTCCCCCCCCCCCCTTAAGGATAGTTTTTTAATCTTTTTGCTCAAAGCAGCTTCTCCCTGCAGACAAAGTACAGCATTCATTAGAGCATTTCATTAGGGACTGGTATTGCTCTAGATGACCTCATTCTCTATTACTGCACCTACAGAGGCTCTTTTTCTCCCTCTCTTGCTTGTGTCCAACCTTCTCAACCAGCACTCTTATTCATACTTTCAATTCTCACCACAGACTCACTGATTTACCAGAGTGGGGTACCTCACTTGGGAGGGTTTTGTTGCCACATTAACAAAGCAGCCTAGAAGTTACTGTTCCTACGCGTACAGAATATGCAGAAGTAATTCAGTGTGATGTGTTCTGTACTCTTCCCTAGGCATTTGCCTGTGATTTCCATCAGAGAAAGGCTAGCAGAGTAGATGGCTCTTCTCTTTTTACCAATTTGGTCTTTCATATATTCTTATGAGCATGTGAACACTGAATGAAGGCTCTAATACCACATACTTACATTTCCTGATCCTGTTGTGCAATGAGCCTTGCTTCTGGGAAGAAGGAGAAAGTGACAGTGCTGAGATATCTGAGAGACAACGCAAAGTTGTCTCTTGTTCTTCCATCTTTCTTCCACAATAATGTTCTGTCTCATTTAGACAAACAATTAGGTATGTTTTCTTCTGATGGACAGGAAGCCTGCCATTGCCTCTTTAAGATGCTAAAAGACATTTATTCTTAGAGACACCTTTGTGCACAAGTGTCCTTAACTGGTAGTTGTAACAGAATAACTTGTGGGTGTTCAGGAGCAGTGATGCATGTGGATGAGCATTTGTCTCAAAGATCACATCATGTAATACAAAAATATCTTCAACAGAAACAATTTGTCTGAAAGCATTTTACTATTAATTGCTTCTTCCTGATACTCGTTGCACTTTTCAGACAAGTCTCTAGATTAGATGTCTACTAATTGAGCATTCAGGGTGAGTTTTAATGTGGCATCAAAATTACTGACACGTTGGACAGTAATTTAAGCACCAGTAAATTTGGGAATAGTTAGGAGTTAATAAATACATGCCAAATTATACAGTGGTTAAGAAGCAGTATGAAGTTCTGAATTGTTTCCTTGTTATTCTTTTGTTATTCTCTTGCTTATTTTTTTAATCTTCTGTGCCTACAACAGGAATTGTTTAACTTAATCTCCAGTTTTCAAGATTCAGTCCTAATATCATCTCCAGGGCTCTTCAAAAAAATTATCAAAATTACCTTATTTCTGACATATCTTCAAGAAGGGAGTATTTTTGAAGAGGAAGGATAAGAAGACTGTGTATAATTTTCAGCATTAGGTATTTCCAATCACGTGGGTAAAACTAGCACACTTCCTCAACATATGGCATATTTCAGTTGTTATGCCTCAGTCTCTGCCATAAACAGACATATTGTTCAATATTTCTAATAATGAACTGTTGTTAGGGCATCACAACACATACTGCCAAAGAAAAAAGTATTACAGAGAGCTAGCAAAGCATACTCTGGAGAGAATGGCAGGACACACCTGAACCAGCAATCCCAAAGGAAACCACTGTAATACTTCCATACATAAAAATAGGCTATCAATGTCAAATAAAAAAAAAAAAAAAAAATCAACAGTTATAATTTACTTTCACTGCAAAGTTGTGTCTCCTATAAGTAAACCATCTTTTACAATAAACTTTGGATGTCACCCAGATAACAGGTTCCAAAGAAGTGATTGTTTTTCAGTGCAGACACTCCCAGGTTTTATTGGGTCCTGACATTTTCAAGTATGCCTTAACTCCAAATCTCATTATTTGTATCATGTCCCTATTAAAATGTTGACAGTCGTGACTTTCCTTCACATTTTTAGTGCCCTCCATCTAAGCAATCATAGATCCTCATAAACTGAGATGACAGGATCCTAAAACCACCTCTAATTAGATTTATCTTGTCCTTCTAATTTAAAAGTCCAAACAGCAGTCTATCATCTTACGCAAGTTACATCAAATATGAAAAAACATCTGTATTATTACCTATTATTATTAAACTACCACAAATGAACAGCATTTTCAACCAGATAATTGCACAAAAGTTCCAGTATAAAATTAAAAATTATAAACAAGCCCACAGTACTCAGATTTGCATCTGCTTTAGCAGTCATCCATCTAGTCACTATGAAATGCAAAAATATTAATGAAATGAAATCAAATTGAAGAAAATATAGTTTAATTTGAAACGGCTCCACAACCACTCTGTACAAAGGAAAATCTCTTTTATCCTTGGCTTTGATGAATCTGGCCTGTGATCTTCTGAGTATCTAAAGATGATCAAATTGAGCAGAGAACCCCATGAATCCTCATACAGCCCTATAACTGACGTCCTTAATGAACACAGTATGAGGTATTTAAACCATCTCGAGGACAACTGCTTCCATCTAGCCCCTGATACCTTCAAAGAGCTTTTTAGTCAGGATGCACTTCGGTCAGCTATTGAAGCACTCATTTAGTAACATCCCCTTCTATGAAACACCACATTTGCATATTCGACTGTATCTAAGACTATTTCTATCAGTGGAAAGGGTTTGGCTTATGTTTTTCCCTATTTTTTCCTTAATTTTATTTACTACTGCTGTTATGACAGTTTTACAGATGAGAGCTAAAGGGAAGGAAAGAAGCAACAAAGTAATAATTAAGTGTTGCATGAAAACAGTAGTTTTAGTACTTCTGCCTGTATTTCTATTACCAGCAATAAAATTACACATTTTACCTGAGCATTAATTTTTAACTGAACAAAATGAGTAGATTTAACAGAAAGAAGCAGAACACAGACGAGCTGAGAGACCCTGGGCAACGTATCCACTACTGTGAAGCATTCTCAACTTTCACAGCACGCTGCCTTTACAAGAAGATGCAGTAGGGTTTGAGCACTGCTTTCAGGGCCCAACAGGTTTGGTTCCGTTCACTGCCAGCTCTAACGAGCTCTTGCAGAGTAGGGAGCTACTGCCCTATTAGGCTCTTTCTGCAGACGCCCTACAGTGCAGCTCTCGAAAGCTACATGTACTGCTCACCTAAACTACATGCCCAATAGCAGGAGCTTTCAACTGGGCTAGGGTCACATGCCATGTTTTAGGCTTATCATTGACTGCTCTGTGAAAGACCCTGGGGTCCATTTGATGCAGTAACTCTACTTGTTTCATCACTTCTTTCTCAAGTTCTACTCTCTCCATTTAAAACCTGTCTCATACCAACCCTGGGCTGATCTTAATCAAATAAGTATTCCCCAAAGATGAAGTGTTATGATCTTTGATTACACAGATGGCACTTCCCAAATTTCTGCAGCGAAAATAATGCTTTGACATCAATTTTGGTTTTAAGTAAAACATAAAAATAGCATCTCAGAGGCAGCAGAACCATTAGAAAATCTGTGATAGAATTTCCTCTGAAGTAATCGCAGAAGTTTCCTTGGCTCAGTAACATTCTTACTTCAGCAAGGTATCACAGTGAAACAAAGATCCCAATCATCTTAGAGAAAGTTTTGTGCTGACTTGGAGTTTTGCATATACAACTATTTTCCTTTCTCATAAATCCACCATGGTACATTGTGAGTAATCAGTATTTACTATAACACATTCAATCAAGTATCCTATATATCATTTTCTTCATGACATCTTCTTTTTCATAATGTTACCTTTTTGTTCTTTTTCCACCAGAGGAAAAGATACTCAGTACTGCTTTTAATGAGTGCAGAGAGTGTTTTCCATTTATCCAATACAGATCTACATAAAACCTTTGCAGAATCTATGCAAAAATGGCATTGTCATTTACAATGAAAGATCTGTTCATTAAACTACAAAAGAAGTGTAACAGGGCATATGTTCTCAGGAATATCATTTCCTACCAAAGCAGACATCTACCTTTAGACTGGTAGAGCTGTGAACAGTCACTGCTTCTCGAACTGTGAAAGAGTAAGACAGGAAACACAGCCAGTGAGGGCAGGAACCCCAAAACTATCACTGATACAAAGAGAGGGCAGGAGCTGCTGGCTTAACTCAATTGGCAGATTTGCTAATCCCCAAACCTGAAACCTCTACTGACCTTTTCTGTGAAGAGAAATATAAACATATAATTACAATGCATGCTGTGTTATTTGCTTAGAAGTAATGCTAGCAATCAATAAATAAAATATGGCACTGTTCATACCTTTTCAAACTTCCAAAATAAATGAATTCTACTGATGGTTCCTTACAGACTTTATTTATCAGGCATTGTACAACCTTTGTAAGGTCCTTGCTTTTGGGGAAAGAGGAGATATTATAGAAAGCTTTGTTGGATTCAACTGAAGTTCACCCTAGGATTACTTTTCATATAGCCTCACAGTTCTAAATAGCTATGAAGACATATTTCAGGATGGAATATAATGCTTTTTAGCAAGAATTTCATCTAGAACTGTCACCTGCTGCTACAGAATTTCCTTTTAGAAGAAAAGGAAGATATAGGAAATATAAACAGCATTCTGGTGCGTTTCACTTTTGGTAGTGGAATTCAAGAGTGTAATGCTTATTCGGGCCATTTATTTTCCAAAATAAATTTTGATCTTTCAACAGAACAGTTACATACATATAGTCTCGGCACTGGCTTCAGTGATGTCACTTGCAGGGCTCAGTAGAGAGTGTCACTAAAGAAGGAATACTACTGAAGAACGTCAGTCTTAATCAGCAGTTAGTTAGAAAGTAATTATTAAGTAATAGTTATCAGTGTATGCTACTTGAAAAAACTTAAGGAGCAATCAATCCACACATGCCTGTTCACTCCCTTCAGACCTTCATGATTGAATATGGCAGCCACACTAAATTCTATACTCTGAAGCGTTCTTGGCATCCACGCTTCTAGGTAGATGAGAAGAGACTAACATCATGCATCTGTATAAATCCTATACAGAATTAAGATTAAAGATTAGCAATCTAACAACAACTTTATTTTAAGGTGATATTAAAGGGCAGCACAAGGACTCCTCCAAAACCAGTTGAGGGCTTTCCTCCAAACCAGCTTGAGGGCTGTGAGGTGCTGCAGCTGGGTGAGGGAAGGCACACTGTGAGGGTTGCTATGCTCAATTCTGCCAGGCAGCCAATCCAGCGCTGCCACCATCTTCATATTGAATTAACATCACAGGCCCCAGGTGAGATTGAAAGGCAGCTATTTCTCCATGTCACACACTGGCTGAGAGGCAGCAATCAGGTGGTGGAGGAAAGTGATAAGGAAACATACAAAGGAAAGAAAAAAAAAAAAAAAAGAGCGTGATTAACTTCCACAATCACTTTTCTTCTGGAAGAAAACCAATAGAGAAGTTCATGAGGACATAGGCAAACGGCCACTGCTTCTTGTGCAGACAGCATCACAGTGATTCTGAGATGGTGTTATTTGACCTTCATCTCTGCTGCCTCCTTGATTGCCATTCCACAGTCTCTGGTACTTGTTTTTTTTGTTTTGTTTTGTTTTTTTTGCAGTAAGTTTCTTACAGCACACTTGGGCCATTTCATTCATGCCAATATTGTGCAAAAACAATGCTCCTTTTGTCAAATTTAATGCAGTAAAGAAATATCAGAACAGACCCTCCACAGTCCACATTACTTACACAAAAACCTATTTACATTCAAAAAGGAATAAGATGAATGTGCCTAAAACATTCCTCTTATTCTAAAGCCTCATGAATGAGGCCACTAATCTATTTTCTGGTTTAAAAAAAAAAAAAAAACAAAACATTTACAAAACTGAAGCTTTCCTCAATAATAATCTGATGTATTTACTATGGACAATCCTTCAAAATAATTCTTACTGAGAGGGCTATTTCTCACTTTCAGGCTGAGAAACCAAAGAATTACCATGTACAAATTGACATCTGTATATCCACCTGCATTCTCTTTTCTTCAGGGAAATACCAAAGTTCTTCACTTCCTTTAAATACATATACAAAATTCTTCCTCCACATGCTTGTTTAAAATATTTGTGATTAACTTCATTTAACCTCTATATTAAGTCAGTCAGTCTATACCTTTCTCAGTTGTCCTCTGTTCTACAAAACAGGGACTCATATATGAGCTTAGGGTATGTCTACTGATTTTCCAGCTCATCTGTTCAGAAACAGCAAAAATGTTTTGTATTCAATATTGTAAATTAAAGAAAAAAGAAAAGTCATGACATCAGTGCTGGAAATGACTGTTGAGATCTAGGGAAGTGCTAAAATCTATGAATGAGAAAATATACAATGAAAACTAAAACAAAATATGTGCTAGGGAATTTACTATTGGTAGAAACATATAAATTTGATGATACTTTTGTGGAAGCAGCATTCTACATTAAAAAATAACTTCGCTGTTTTCTTCTGTAATACTTTTCTACTTTACCTCTGCTCAACACTGTGAAGGATTAAGAAAACAGGCTTTAATTTCTTGCAAGAAAGAGAGGAAGATGATGAAACAGGAGAACCAGAAGGGGCTGGGAGTAACCTTGTGTTCTTAACGATAAGAAAAAATAAGGGTGTGTTTGTCTGTATCATTTGATCTTGCAGTAATACCTTTTGCTTCATCTAGGGCTGCTGGGACATGTTTCATTGGAAGACAGAATTAAAGCAGAGCTAAGAAATATGATTTAAAATTTGTTTCAGCTTCTGTAGGCAGTTTTATTCAAGTTTGAATTATGAATATGGCTACCTTTTCTTAACACACTACTGAGGACACGTTTCCATATTTCTCTGAAGGACCAAGTATTACAGTCCAGTCTGAAAATAGGTCTGGAGTACACATGCCCAGCTAATATTAGTTGGAAAAACATATATATATGGAAAATGGACTAAATCTCCTTATTCAACCATTCACTGCCCAAGCCCTAGCCAAAGACAATAGTGCCCAGATACTGGGGATAGTTTCTAAGACACACATACCTCAAGTAGAGTAGACTAGATCAAGAGTCATTATCATCAATTTTCCATTGTACATCATGATGCGAAGATATTTGAGTCAATACTGGAAGAGTTAATGTGAGCATTAGAAGTATTCTTGTTCTTAACCTCCTACTGAAGCCTCATAATCCTTAATGTCTCATGCTGATGTCTCTGCATCATCTGTTTACGAGCTGGTTCAGCTCAGTTTCACAACTAGCAGGGCAGAGGGACCAATAGGGCTGCACCCTGAAAAAGGGAAACAGGGAAAAGAGCAGAGAGGTGGGCCCAAAAACAAAACAGTGGCAACAATCTGAGGAGAAACAAACTATTCTGCTAAATAAGATATTGGAATGCAAGATAACACACTATAATACAATTGTACAATTAACAAATGTATACTTAAAGAGCAGCGTGGTAAGGATGATAATTTACAGGCATATAGTTAAAAAGATTATCATGATAGAAAGAGACAAATCAAAAACAAAACTCACCCATGTTCTAGGCTCACAGCAGAAAACCCCAAAAGGAGGGATCTCCAGAAAGAGACCAAGAGACCAGTGGCATCAGGGCATTCAGCCCTTAAATGGGGTATAGGAGAGGTGCAGCAGGGTTCCACCCCTTCCGGTCACACAGCTGAATTGCCTTCACCTGTACTCCCAGGGCTGACTTGGTCCTCACCTCAGGTGATCAAGCAGTGATTCAGGCCATGACTCAACAGTTCCCATACAACAATATCCTACAATATAATTAGAAATGAAGATAATAAATCAAATATAATGAAAAACCGAAGGTCTTAACTCCAATGCTGAAGTGAGATGTGCAGTCAGGGTGAGCAGAAGGGAAGAGAGCGAGGTCTTGTGACGTTGCCAGGTGTTTTATCTCCTCTCTGAATGCAAAGTCCTCTAGGTTATGTAGTTCTCTTCTGGGACAGGTACCTGGAACTGAAGCATTAACTCTAACTGCCAGTGCACTACATGATGTAATGATGTGGAATACCGATAACCAAACATCATAAAACCATGACACTATGATACACTACTCACTAGTACCCTCCTTGACTGAGTCAGACTTTCCTGAAACATGGAAGCTCTAAAACATGCCCACAGGTGGGTCCTAAGGCAGCTTTCCACTGCTTATTTCTAAGAAAACTATTTGTGGCTTGCTTTATCTTTGCAAGAGAGAAAATTCATGAAGAATTCAGCATGTTGGTCAAAAGCTGCTGAAGAATCAAGGCAAGTACAAATGGAATAGCTTGCTCCCATGGGCCAACGTGACTTTTCCTAAGGAAAAATGTGCCAGACAGAAATTAACAAATTGCTTAACAAATAGCTTTGAAAATCTGAGAATTGCTCAGAATGATTCATAATATCTATAAAAGTCCCTAGCAACTGCTCATGGCCACAGAAATTTAAACATCTGCTATTTGTGGAACTTGCATCAAGGTTAAATCAGTGACAGACATTTGACAGTAATTTTCAATTGTTATTCTAAAGAACGTCTAAGGCCTTTCCTATGTATGACTGAGTTATAATTAATAAATGTTAAAACACTTGTTTCGCTCGATATTATGAATGTAATAAAAGAAACAGAAGGAACTATTTTATTTTTTTTTTTTTTTATTCCTCTTAGATTTGCTATAATTTTGTTATGAAACTTAACTATGTCATCAACAGAGATTTGACTGTCAATATCAGGAATTCATTGACTGCAGTCAATAAAATCAAAGTCAAAGAAAATATATTTGGTTTTGCAATTAGGTGGATATTTTTATACCTATGTAGACTGAACAGACAGAAGGCTTTGCAGGCATAATAGAACATTTGAGTGTATTCACCACTTCATGCTCACTTGAGAGAAAACAAAGTAGGGAAAAATACAATGGACTTCCACTTTGAAAGTGGGATCTACTGGTTTTCCAAAGAGCTCTAGCTAGTTTAGCTGGTTATTCCTCCCACCCCCAAAAAACGTAAACACATTTTTGCTGATAGACTGATAGATTGAAACTTCACTAATGTATAATGTAGTGCCTCTTTCCATGTGAATTAATGAAGATAATACAAAACAATCACAAAATGTATAGATGGCTAAATTCTTCAGTCTGTGCATGTATTTCATATGTATATTTGTATGTACCTGTATATGTATAGGTAGACATAAATAGACGTGTTGCTGAGATGAACAGATGAATGTAATTTTTATTTGTGTTCAATATAACTTTCAGTTATTTAGACAACCCGCTGTCTTAACCAAAATATCAAGGAAAATAAATAGAGGGGAAAAAAGGCATATTTTATGATGAATAAATATACTGAACCTTTCAGATATATACATATGCCATGTAAATAATGAATCTACATATAAGATGTTAAATTTCTAGCTCTAGGCTCTTTCTTCCCCATGAACATCCTTTTGGTTTACATACACATTAGGGTGTATGTGACTATGTATATATGCACATATGCTGCCCATCCTTATTGCATTATATAAATGAATTATGTGGCTTTTATGTTATGCAAGAGCTTGTTCTCCCAAGAGCTCTATATGCATATTTTGTATGTGCAATGAATTACCCAGACTATTTTGCCATTGTTGAACCGCTGAGGGGGAAAATGATAAATGTTAATGAAAAATTCAATAATCTAAATAGACACTACTAAATTCAATGGGACTTCTGTCATGCTCTTCACAGGGACCAAGACTTCAGCTTTACTCTTTACTAAGGCCAGATACAAGAATGAGAAAAGATTCATTGTTATTCTCCAGTTCAATTTTTCTGTCTCCAAATTCTTCTTTTCCTTCTGTACCACATGAATACTGGAACCCAGAGTTTAAAGAAATTAATCCTTGTAACTTGCAAATACATCTCTCAGGTCAAACTAGATTGCAACATTCTGAGTTGAAAAAAA